TTGGAAGTTTTATGAGACAAGATCTTGCTGTGTAGTTCAGGCTGGACTTGAACTCCCTGTGGAGCCCAGGCTGGCCTCGAACTCACAGTAACCCTCCTGCCTCAGCCTCCAAAGTGCTGGGATGACAGCCCCACCACCGCTGGTTTGAATTTCCCCAGATTCTCTCCTAAGGGTCTTGAGTTTCCTTTTCTGCACCCCAATTCCTTGGGTACCCCGAGAACTCTGATTCTAGGGTTTCCTCCCGGGTGAGGCAGGGGTGCAGGAGGCTGGGGTCTGTACCTGGCCTCCTGCAACTGCTCAGAGGATCCCTGAGGGAGGGGCACGCTGTGGGGTGTAGCGGGACGGGGGACAGAAGCCCAGTCCCCACCTGAGACTGCAGGAGCAGAACGAAGGGGATAATAGAAAAAGACACCCCCAGCCTGGGGATCCCCCAAAGCCGCTGTAGCTGCAGCCCCTTCCACTCCTCTTGGGGTATCTATCCCTCCTTCCCAGTTCACCCCGAGGCCTCTGGGGTCTGTCTGTCCCAGGCAGCCCCGACACCTCAGCACTCTGGGAGGCTGAGGCAGGAAGGCTGCAGGTTCAGTGGCCTGTCTGGTCTGCAGGCCCAGGTGGAGCAGAGGATCCCGGAGAAAGAGGCCTCAGTGGGGTCGCCTGAGCAGGGACCTCAGCCCCCGGATTGCCCAGACCCTGCTGCCCGTCCCAAGGCCCTGGCCTCTCCACTCCAGCGTCCATCTCCCCAGCCCGTGGCGGCTGCTCCTGCATGGTGCATGCAGGGCTGTTTGCAATCCCGCCAGAGAGAACTCAGTGAGCCGCAGGGTAGACGCCATCCTGGTGTCCGAGTCAGTCACCCACTTGCTGAAGAAGACAAACCATCTTAAGAAAATGCAAGCCGGGCAGGCGTGGCGGTGGTGCTCATGGCGGCGGCGGGGTCATCCCAGCACTCTGGGAGGCTGAGGCAGGAAGATCCACAAGTTTGGAGCCCACCCCGGGCAACTTAAGAGACTTGGCCAGACCCTGTTTGAAAATAAAAAATGAAGGCAGGGCTGGGCACCTGGCTCTCAGTACTTCAAAAACAGACAGACAGACAGACAGACAGACAGAACCCTTGAAAAATCAGCATCTTCTCCCTGGACAAAAACTGTCCAATGCCTACTGGGGTCGGGCAGCTGGGATGAGAAGGTATTTCTTTAAAAGGGGCCTAGTCAAACGCATTTACGGATGGCATTTTGCAGAAAGGATGCTAGTTTGGATTTCGGGGTCCTGGAAATGAATCTCCCGGTGCCCCTGCAAGGGAAGGGTCCAGGGAGAAGTCACCGTGCAGAAATAGGCATTTTCTAAAATAAACCTCAGCGCACGCCGGTGACCGCAGGGCCCGGGGCAAAGCCGAGGAGAGGAGGCGGAGGCCCGCGTCGCTCCAGGCCCGGGGGTGACAGCGCGCCAAGGGCAGACGTTACCAACCGCTTTTCCGGGACCCGGGGCTTCTCCGCTGCCGCTGCGCTCCGGGCGCTCCTGGCCGGGCTGGGCGTCTCCGTCCTGGGCCTCGGCGGCAGCGCTCCCCGCCATCCCCTCTGAGCTCCAAAAGCCAGCAGGCGACCCCGGGCACCCTCAGCCCCTTCCTCCGCCTGTCGGGGTCTGCAGGCGCGCCCTGCGCCGGTGCCTTCTGCATCGCGCGCGTCCAAGTTGGAGCGGATTCGCCCCCGTGGCCGCGCGCCCCCAGGCTCGGTCCGGTCTCTGCGCCCTGCACAGCGCCCCGCACTCTGGGGGCGCATGTGGAGGGAGAGATGTCCATGCCTCGGCCTCCCTCACTGGGGCGGGAGCTGGGGGAGGCTTGGGGAGGGAGCGGCAAAGGCTCCCGAGGCCTCCGCGCTGCAGAAGGCCGGGGCTGTTGGTCCCCCGCTCGGAGTGCGCTCGCTCGCTCGCTCGCTCGCTCGGAGTTGGCTTTCCTGGCAGCAGCGGCCGCGGAGCAAGGCAGAGGACCTGCGCCCAGCGGTGCGCGCGCACTCTTTCTCTCTCTCTCCTTCTTTCCAAAGGAGAAGAGAAAAAAAATGTGTCCTCTGTACCTCTCCACGCCGAGGTCCGGAGGAGACGCGGAGCGGCCG